AAAGTACGACTTATGGATTACAATGGCTTCCCCCCCATACCGTCCCTCCCACCCACAACCCTCCCCTTTCCCAATCCCTCTCCCCTTCCATTCACATCAAGATTCATTTTCGATTATCTTAATATACAGAAGATCAGCTTAGTATACATTAAGTATGGATTTCAACAGTTTGCACCCACACAGAAACATAAAGTGAAAAATAATAGATGATTTTTTTTAAATGATGATGAAATCAGAGCAGACCTATTGTCATGTTTAATCCCAGTGAGAGTCAAGTTGGGAATTGATAATTTCTTTTTTTTTTTTTTTTTTTTTTACAGAGGATCAGTTTAGTATACATTAAGTAAGGATTTCAACAGTTTGCACCCCCATAGAAACACAAAGTGAAATATATTGTTTGAGTACTCGTTATAGCATTAAATCTCAATGTATAGCACATTAAGGATAGAGATCCTACATGAGGAGTAAGTGCACAGTGACTCCTGTTGTTGACTTTACCAATTGACACTCCTGTCTATGGCATCAGCAATCTCCCTATGCTCCAGTCATGAGTTTCCAAGGCTATGGAAGCCCTCTGAGTTCTCCGACTCTTATCTTGTTTAGACAGGTCATAGTCAAAGTGGAGGTTCTCTCCTCCCTTCAGAGAAAGGTAGCAGGTGCTCAATCTAAATGAGGGGGAAGATAATTTCACACTTAACCATGGACTGTCCATAGAGTACTGAGTGGAACATGGGGAAAGACTGCAGTGTGGAAAGTAAGGGGGATGAGAATGAATCTACAGTGAAGGAAACCGATAAGCACTGCTACCACCAGATTATCAATGTAAATGCTCAGGCAACAAGTAACTACAGGTCCATATGTACTCCTGATATCTTTTGATGAAAATTACATTTTGTTTCTGTGATATTATTCCCCAAACTCATAACTGTAATTCAATCATGAGAAAACATTCCAATAGAAAAGCTTCCTCCAAAATATGTGTCCAAAATTGCCAAGGTCATTAAAAACAAGAGAAATCTAAGAAATTGTCGCAAATAAGGGGAGTAAAGGTCCATGACAACTAAATGTAATGCCGGATCCCGGGCAAGATCCTAAAACAAAATGTAGACAATGGGTTAATGTTAAGGAAGTTTGACTAAACTATGGACAGCAATGTATCAACGCTGGTTCATTAATTGTACCAAATAACAGGGAAAATTGTGCAGAGGGAGAATGGTATATGCAAACTCTTGGTACTATTTCTGTAAATCTGAAACTGCTCTAAACTGCTTTAAAATTCTTCTGTTGAAGAATTTTAAAATAAGACAAAGAACTGAGACCAAATCCAAACGAGGAGCCAAGCCCACGCAGCCCAAACAAGGAGGTAAATTTGTACATCCAACCTAACCAGCTGACTCACAGAACTAGAAGAGAAATTCAGGAAAGTCCCAGAATTCTTGAAATATGATGTGCAACCTCCACGTCTCTAAATATTGTTAAACTGCTCCCCAAATGGTTTCATTATCTAAACACCCACAAAATGAATGAGGTTTTATTTACTCGTATTCTCGCTACCAATTGCTGAAACAAGCATTTCAATTTTTGCCAATTTTACTTCTTTAAATATGCATGTCACCAATTTCTCATAAAGGTGGACATCTTTTAACAATAAATACTCCAGTAAGCATCTCAACAAATACTTTTAAAAGAATGGCTCTAACAGAGTTGTCATAAAATTAACAGTAATTCCTTTATGACATCTTAATATTGAGTTCTAGTTGAATGTTCCTTTGTAATTTAAAATTTTTTAAAATTATTTAAATCAGGATCCAATCGAGATCCACATATTGCATTTGTATTATCATACATCTCTTTTTGAAAATTGATTTATCTTTTGAGAGGTAGAATTGCAGACAGAGAGAGAGGGAGAGACACAGAGACACAAAGAACAATTTCTTTTATCTGCTGTTCACTTCTCAAATGGCTGCAATGCCCAGAGCTGAACCAATCTGAAGCTTGGAGCCAGGAACTTCTTTCAGGTCTCCCACGTGGGTTCAGGAGTCCGAGCACCTGGGCCCTCTTCTATTGTTTTCCCAGGACATGGCAGAGAGCTGGATCTGAAGAGGAGCATCTGGGGCATGAACTGGCACCTACATGTGATGCCAGTGCCACAGGCAGAGTTTTAGCCTACTACACCACAGTAAGAGCCCCCATAACTCTCCCTTAATTATCTCTTCTTTTGTGTTTTTTTTAAGAAAGTAAATTATTTGTCTTGCAGAATATATGGATTTGGCAAGCTAAAGCATTGTGATATCATTTAACATGCTCCTCTATATCTTCAAATTTCCTGTAAACTGAGTGTTAGATCTAGAAGCCTGATTAGATACAGGTGGCTTCTTTTTAATGTTTTTTGCTGTTTCTCTGTGCTTCCCAATGCCCTACATAACAGAAAGATGTGTCCTATTTGTGTCTTTTTAGTGATTGAAATATTAATTAGTGAATTCAGGTTATGTCAGCCTGATCCATCCATATAAAATTACACACCTAATGGTTTTTTTCCTAATGGTTTTAGCAACTATTGATGACTATGGTCTAGATCCATTAAGGTTTGCAAGTGCGGTTTTCTATTTCTATCATTTCTTCTCATTTATAAGCCATGATTCTTTTAAAACAATAATAGCTTTCCCTCTCCCTCACCAATTATTTTGCTGCTCTGCAATACAGTGCACACAGGAAAGACAACTCATCTCTCCCAACTGAAACACAAACTGCCTGAACCTGGGAGGGTTTATACCCACTTTTCCTGCCACTGGTTAGGGAAGCTGCTCTAGGAAGTAGAGCTTTCTTCAAAGTGCAATGCTTTTTCCAGTGTGATTATTTGAGAACCACCTGCTTCCTGTTGACTCTCCTTTTATTCGCTCTCTGAGTCATCTTGTTGGGAGTCTTTGTAAGAGTAACCCTTGACACTATCTCTGCCAGACAGTATGGGTAGGAACCAGGGGAGCCGGAAGGATGACATTGCTTTCTCCTTTGATATTATTGATCAGCTTTAATTTCCTTCCAGGAAGCTTTACATTGTGAGGGAGTAGAAGCAACATGTGGCTACATTTGGTACATTTTTGTTTTGCAAGATTTTCTCTCTGTATCTCTTGTTATATATGTTAGAATTGATAATAACCTATAGACAATAATCTTTAAATATCAAGGCAAAGCTGATGTTAATACTTTCTTTACCCTTACGAAATTTGATGCACAGAATCATGACCAACTTCACAGAAGAAAACTCTGAGTTTGGGAATCACAGATTTCCTTCAGCACCATTAACTGGAAATATCTTTATTTGTCATTCTTTGTTATATATGACTACTATGCCAAGTGCTTTAAAACATAATTTAATTTTGATTTCACAAAAGCCCTGCAGGGTTGTTTTATAAACGAATAAAATGCTCATGACTGTTCAGAACATTAAGTTGTGGAACTAATATTGTGACATGGGTCAATGTTGTTTTAAGGTCTGCATTTTTTCCTTTGAGTCACACCACTCGAAACATTGAACAACTTTCATGGTCAAGGTGCTGTGCATAGTGCTCAAGAAAACAAACAATGTTGTAGTCCCACCCCTCTATATCCTTGCTATTTTCCATGCAAATTGTGGTCTGAGTGATCCAGAGGCAGGAACATCATCCAGGAACTTATTAGCTATGAAGAATCTAAGATTTCACCCAAGCCTAATGAATCAGCATCTAATTTTTTTTTTTTTTTGACAGGCAGCATTAGACAGTGTCAGAGAGAGACAGAGAGAAAGGTCTTCCTTTTTCCATCGGTTGACCTCCAAGTGGCCGCTACAGCCGGTGCATTGCGGCCAGCACGCTGCACGGATCCAAAGCCAGGAGCCTTTTCCAGGCCTCCCATGCGGGTGCAGAGCCCAAGGACTTGCACCATCCTCCACTGCACTCCCGGGCCACAGCAGAGAGCTGGACTGAAAGAGGAGCAACCAGGACAGAACCGGTGCCCCAGCTGGGACTAGAACCCGGGGTGCTGGCACCACAGGTGGAGGATTAGCCTAGTGAGACAGGGCGCCAGTCCAGTATCTGACTTTTTAACAAAACCTCCACATATGCATAAGAAACATATTTGTGATGCACTGATGAAGAATTTTTAATCTAGCTGAAGAAGTTGTGCACAGGAATTTAAAAGGAAAATTAAGCATACAATAGGCAGAGATGAGAAGACAGTAGGTGCTATAAGAAGTCAGCACATGGGCCAGCATTGTGGCACAGCTGAATAAGCTGTTTTTTGCATCACCGATATCCCATATTACAGATCTGTTGCCTCCAACCCAGCTCCCAAATAACCAGCCTGGGAAAATAGCAGATGATGGACCAAGTATTTGGGCTCCTGTTACCCATGTTGAAGACTCAAATGGAGTCCTTGGCTCCTGATTTTAGCCTAGCGCAGACCCAACCATTGAAATCATTTGGAGAATGAACCAGCAGATGGAAGCATGTGCTCTCTCTCTCTCTCTCTCTCTATATATATATATATATATCTACCCTTCTGTTTCTCTCTTTCCCTCTTTAAAAAAAAGAAGATAGCACAATGGGATACACCGGAGCTAGACATTTTGTTGCATATAATCAGGGAAGACTGCCCAGAAAAGATGGGGCTTGAGGTGAGTCATGCCAACTTTTGTGATTTATAAAATGGAGAGACTGTTATGAAAATACAGACTATAACAATCAAGGCATTTAGGTAGAGACTTTCGTAGCATGTATGACAAGTAGGGGTGACTCTGCCCACAATAGTGACTTAGAACTTCTTGGAAAATACAGAGGCTGTAACTTCATTTCTCTTTTCCTGGATCTTATCTAGAGTCTAGAATTTTGTGGGTGTCAATAAGCATTTGTTAAAAAAAAGGCAATTCTCAAAAGTTATGCTTCCTCATTGAATTCTTCCATATGTAAGTCACCTTCCCGATTGCTGTAAATACTGTATAAGTGAGTCATTGGGGACAACGTTACCTTGAGGAGGTGTACTGAGCTTCCTCATTCCAAAACTTAGGTTGGTGTGTCTACAAAACATAGGGATACACTTAGAAAGAATGTATGTATATAAGGTCTTCAAAAATTTCATACAAGTGCACATTTTCTCTTAATTTCATTTTTCTGTGAGCTTTTTGAAGTACCCTCAAGCAGAATTAATTCCCTTAAGTGCTTCAAAGAGAGCAGAAAACCACAAAAGCATCTTATTTCATGGATAGATATATTATGGCCAGTACTTAGAAATATTTCCTTAGAATAGAGTCATAAAACAGAATTACCTGAGGAAAGATATATAAACATCTTAAAACATTGAATCACCAGCTAAATTGATTTCCAAAAAGGATATCCCCTTTAAAAATACCCGACTCTGGAAAAATCACTTAGGAAGAAGCAGGTGCAGAGAAATGGGTTAGCCAACAAATAGTAAGTAACTGCTTCTATGCTATTATCATCTTCCAGAAACTAAAACAGTCACTTTTACATATCTTATCTGTAATCTTCACCACAGCTTTTAGAGCTAGATCATTACTTCCATTTCACAGATAAGGAAACTTATCTGTGAGGCTGACAGGGATTTAGTTACTGTCTCCAAAGTCACCTAACTATTAAATTTTGGAGCCAGAATGTGAAACCAGAAATCTGAAGTCAAGAAGGTCTGCACTGCTCCATCACATCAAAATTCCTTTTCTGGCTATCTACTGATGTGTACTAATAATGCCCAAAGCCAATGACTGAAAAACAGCCACTGTTTTCTTGTGTATTTGCTTGAGTCAGGAGTTCGGGGAAGGCATTTCTAGACAATTCTTTTCCTCCATTAGCAGAGGCAGTTCATGTATCCACAAGATGGTAGCTCACCTACCCAACAGCAAGTTGGACCTCAGACTGTCAGCTGAGGGTCTTTGTTCTTTTCATATGAACACCTCCACTTGGACAACTGAGTTTTCTTTCTTTTTTTTTTTTTTTCTTGCCAGGCAGAGTTAGACAGAGAGAGAGAGAGACAGAAAGGTCTTCCTTCCGTTGTTTCACTCCCCTAATGGCCGCCACGGCTGGCGCTGCACCGATTCGAAGCCAGGAGCCAGGTGCTTCCTCCTGGTCTCCCATGCAATGCAGCAGCCCAAGCACCTAGGCCATCCTCCACTGCCCTCCCAGGCCACAGCGGAGAGCTGCACTGGAAGAAGAGCAACCAGGACTAGTACCTGGCCAGGACTAGAACCTGGAGTACCGGCGCTGCAGGCAGAGGATTAGCCTAGTGAGCCGTATGCTGGCCAGAAAACTGGGTTTTCTAACAGCATGGTAACTGTGTTCCATGAGTAAGTATTCCAGGAGACAGGAAGTCCCTTAAGGTCTGGTCCCAAAAACTATCATAGGATCACTTTAATTATATTCAGTTTATCAAAAGAGTCAAAAGAGCCCATATATTAATATATATTTAATATAAGTGTATTTAATATATTTAAATATACTTATATTTAATATTTAAATATATATAAATATATTAAATGTAAGTATATTTAAATATATTAAATTTTAATATATATAAAGACACACACAGGGGTCAAATTATTAGCAGCCATATTTAATGTTCACATTTCCTAAAACACAGTGCAGAAAGTGCAGAAAGTTAATTATATTTACTCTATGATAGTTTATAGAACCTAATACCTCAAAGCAGAATGCTGTTTTCTGTCAAACACAATCCATATTTTTCTATTTTTTATGATCATATACATGATTTATTTTGAAATAAATAAAAACAGTTGCTTAAGATTTTACTACATAAAATATACTTATTTCAGAAACTTGATGCAATCAAATAAAGAGTGCTGAAGCACAGAAAGGTTGCTAAAAGATTTCAGTTTTCTCTCCTTTTCTCTAAGGCTTGGGTTTTTAAGTCACTAACAGAAAGCTACAATTTGAGGAATGGGAACTTACTGGGTAGCAGAATTAGTTTCCAAGGTGATAATAGTTAGAGAAATACTGTTTCTTCTTCAAAGTAGTATGCATCGTTAGATGACTACCTAAGAGTCCTGATTTTCCCAATCACAGGATAAACCTGGCTTGATTTCAACAGTGTCTTCAAACTATTTAAAATTCAAATGAGGTTTCCGTTTTGCAAATCCTGGTGGACTTCACTCCAAGCCAGCACAGGTGTGTCTGACTCATTGGCAAGTATAAGCATGGCTGAAGCATTTCCAGTCCATTAAAAATGTCTCCTCCTCTTCCACCTGTGTTGAAACCCCACACTCATGGTTGGCTAAGCACACTGACTTCAGGAATTAACCAATGAACCACATAATTCACTTTCCCAGTTTAAGCAAAAAATTGGAGGGCTAACATAATTCTCCTCCACTCACCTGATTTCATACTTAGACCCTCTACATTTCTAATCGAAATAGGAATGTCTCCCTGCAAGCATAACCCTGGGAAATTCTCCCAGGAAATCCCAGCTGTTCCTTCCATTCACTATCCAACTAAACCTCAGAATCCTGACTATGCAACCAACTCAGAAAAGGAGCCTGAGTGAATGGATGAGAGAACATAAAGCAAGATTTTATTAGTGATGCAACAGAAAGTTCCATTATGAATCCATCTCCAGTGAATGGCAGGATGAATATAGGAATTGTGTCTGAATCAGCAAATCACACTCCCCATCTTGATACATGATTTAGGAATTGTCTGCTGTTCCCAACATTATTAGAAAATACAGTGTTTTGTATGCCATATGAAAATTTCTCCATAAAGGAGATCCTGCTAGCCCATGGCAAAGATGTGCTGAAGGGAGATATGTACTCTCTAATTCCAGGAGGTTGCAAGCAGATAGACAAATGGGTTTGTATAAGAATTGCTAAGAGCACTATAATGAAATGACAAGCCCAAGATCAGGTTTAGCTCCCCAAGTTTACTTCCCCAAGTTTACTCCCCCAAGCATTCTTGTTTACTCCAGATTCTAATCACTTCTTTTTTTTTCTTTTTCTTTTTCTTTTCCTTTTTCTTTTTCTTTTTCTTGACAGGCAGAGTTAGACAGTGAGAGAGAGAGAGAGAGAGAGAGAGACAGAGAGAAAGGTCTTCCTTCCATTGGTTCACCCCCCAAATGGCTGCCACAGCCAGCGTGCTGCTGATTCTAATAATTTCTTACCTCCTCTAAACCCAATCCATCCTGGGATACTAAGTACTATTTTAAGAAGAACACTCTTTAGCAAAAAATAATAATATAGGTTACCCTAATGAGGCTCTTCTGAAATGATTTGTATTTTCCGAGAGATGGCTTCTATGGAGAGCAGTAACTGTTTTATGGTGTAATTCAGAGAAGAATAAAGAACCAATTCAGGTTTTGTTTTATTTAGCCACAAAATTAAAGCACTGGAACTCATCACTTACAATTTCATGTAATATTATACCTGAATATACAGAGAGAGGTTCTTTACTGCCATCAAATGTTCATAAGGTAACAATATATTCTAGATTGAGTATCACTTACCCAAAATACTTGCAAACAGAAGTATTTTGAGTTTGGGATTTGGGGATTTTTTTTTTTAATTTAGAGTATGTGTGTATGTGTAATGAGATATTTGGGGAGGGAGGGGACTCAAGCATGAAAGTAATTATATGCAGTATTTTAAATAATTTTATGCATGAAACAAAGTTTCCTAGTGTAGAATTGGCATTATGTCCATACTCAAAAAATTCCAAAGCATGATACCTTGTGGATTTTTTATTTTTATTAGAGGTGATCAATCTATACTTTGTAATATATAATATTTATAGTTATATAATAAATAATGATAATAGTTCTTATACTGCAACTGTTCATTAATAATACAAAAGCAAAAATACCTATATGTTTGTAATTGGACATATATAGAAAAAGACTGCATACACATCAAAATACATTTGATGTAACACATACATCAAAATATTAATGACTGCAGTAAAAAGAGGAGTGGGAGTGCAGAGGATCCTCGAAAAGCTTTTATTCTATTCGTGCCTTATAATGTAAGGTTTTTTAGTTAATAAAGAATTTAAAGGAAGAAGGAAGAGAGGGAGGACAGAGTGATAGAATGAGGGAAAGGGCAGAATTGAGACATAAATTTAGCCACTCACTGGTTTGTTCAGGCCTCTGTAACAATACCACAAACTGAGACATATACACAACAGACATTTATTTCTCTCCATTCTGGAGGCAGGAAGCTCAGGATCAAAGCACATCACAGCCTGTGTCCAGTGAGGACCTCCTGGTTCACGGGCAGTGACAGTCTTCACTGTATCCTCAGATGGCAGGAGAAGGGGGCCTCTCTAGGGTTTCCTTCATCAGCATACTAACACCATTGCAGGGTCCACTCTCATGGCCTACTCACCTCCCAAAAGGCTCCTTCTCTTAATATCATCACCTTGAGGAGCTGGAATTTCAACATATGTATTTTGAGGTTAGAAGTCACAAATATACAGACCACGGCCACTACACCTGAATTCTGGTAGGATGCCCCACTCTTCCAGCCATGCAATGGGTTTCCTCTTGCGTTCCACTCCTAATAATCACACAGTGACTTTTAGAGATTTTCTTTTGGAATGGTTACAAGTGTATGTTTTAATATTTAATGAAATGTATGTTAGAGGGAAATGCACTATTAAGATGAAACATAATTAGAATGATTTTTGGTTGAAAACTACAGAATCAAAGAAATGTCTTCAACAAACCATCATGGAAAGAAATCCTAGGAGAGAGTCCAACACAAAGGGAATGCCAGAAAAAAAAAACAGAGATATTTCTGTTGAGTGTGATGTCAGGCCATGAGAGAAAGAAAGGATGAGGTAAGAAAAAGAGAATGAGCTACTGGTTGCTAGGAGAGTTGAAGTTTGTTGAAGTGGGCTGGGTAATATATGCTTCCTAAGCAACAGTGATGAAAACACCTCAGTGTAAGGACAGTGGCGGGAAATAGCCCTCAAGAAGGAGGGACTGGTCTTTTTTTTCTCAATGCCTTTTAGCTAGACAAATAAAGGAAATAAATCTCAGCAATTGGCAAATACAAGATCTTATTCTGAAGTAGCTCCCACTAAATGTGATCATTTAAGTCAATAGAGTCAGTGGCTGCGCCAACATGTTCCGAGTTGTTGTCTAATGTGTCTTCTAAGTCATTAATTTTTTCGAAGGTCATTGAATTTTAAAGCATAGATAGGCTTTAAAGACTATTTTACCGATTTCTCATTTTTAAAGATGAAACAATAAAACCCCAAGAACAGAAAGTGGTGGAATGCACGGTCAAAAGAGTGGGTGTGGTCCTCTCTCTCCCCGCAGTGACCTGTATTACCTTTAGGAAGTTATTTTACCTTCTCCAAACCTCTACCACCTCCTCTGAAAAATATGGTACTTGATACAGCCCTGAATTCTCAGCCATGTTGAAACTACTGTAAATTATTTCTCTTAGGGAAATAAAAGAACACTGTTTTGAGCTTCACATGAGTAAGAATATCCTTACTTTTTTATATGAGTTTACTGAGATCTAAAAACTTGTCCAAGATCTTGAAGCAACAGTTTGAATAGAGAGATTTAAGAAATTGCTTTTCCAGGGACTGGGGCTGTGGCACAGCGGGTTAATGCCCTGGCCTGAAACGCCCGCATCCCATATGGGCACCGGTTCTACTCCCTGCTGCTCCTCTTAGGATCCAGCTCTCTGCTATGGCCTGGGAAAGCAGTAGAAGATGGCCCGAGTCCTTGGGCCACTGCATCTGAGTGGGAGACCCAGAAGAAACTCCTGGCTCCTGGCTTCAGATTGGCACAGCTCCTGCCGTTGCGGCCATCTGGGGAGTGAACCAGTAGATGGAGGACCTCTCTCTCTGTCTCTACCTCTCTCTGTAACTCTTTCAAATAAATAAAATCAATCTTTTAAAAAAAAGAAATTGCTTTTCCAAAAATTAATAGTTCTGGCCTGTGCCATGACTCATTAGGCTAACCCTCGGCCTGCGGTGCCAGCACCCCGGGTTCTAGTCCTGATTGGGGCGCCGGGTACTAGTCCCGGTTGCTCCTCTTCCAGTCCAGCTCTCTGCTGTAGCCTAGGAAGGCAGTGCAGGATGGCCCAAGTGCTTGGGCCCCTGCACCCGTGTGGGAGACCAGGAAGAAGCACCTGGCTCCTGGCTTCAAATCAGCTCAGCACCGGCCATAGTGGCCATTACGGGAGTGAACCAACGGAAGGAAGACCTTTCTGTCTCTCTCTCACTGTCTATAACTCTCTCTCTGTCTCTCTCTCACTGTCTAACTCTGCCTGGCAAAAAAATAAATAAATAAAAGTTCTTTATCCTTACTTATGTTAAAGATTTATTTGAAGGGCAGGAAGGAGGGAAAGAGTGAGAGACTGAGAGATCTTCTCTCCACTGGTTTACTCCCCAAATGGCCACAATGACTGGGGATGGATCAGGCTGAACATAGGAGCCAGGAATTCTATCCAGATCTCTCACCTGGGTGGTCTGTATTCTAGTATTGGGCTATGTTCCAGTGCTTTCAGGAGCTTTAGCAGGGAACTGGATTAGAAGCAGAGCAGCGGAACACGGAACTGGTGTACTGATATGATATGACATCAGTGTCGCGTAATCCATTGCACCATAATGCCAGTACCGATCCTTATTTTTAAAATGTTGTTTCCTCATTGTAAGCTAATTTTAAAAAAATATTATAAACGAGTTACCTAAAATCTTATCACCTAGATGAAATTTTGGTGTAAATTTATCTCTAGTGGTAGGCATTCAGCATAATGGTTAAGATATCCACATCCCACATGAGCATAGCTCGGTCCCATTCTCAGCTTCTAACTCCAGCTTCCTGCAAATTCAGACCCTGGGAAAAAACAGTGATGGCTCCCACTCACATGGGAGACCCAAATTTTGTTCCTTGCTCCTGGTTTTGACCCCAGCCCAGCCATGGGCTTTGTGGGCATTTGGAAAGTGAACTAGCAGATGAGATTTCTCTCTCTCTCTCTCTCTCTCTCTCTCTAATAAGTAATTTTTACATGCATCCCTAAATAACTTCCATTTTATCTCAGTCTCCTACACCATCCTCCCACAGTATAGGTGATAGGTGTCAACCAAAACTTTCATTTTAATTTATTCTCTGCCCGATGTACTGTTGCTATCCTTAGTTTTAATATTTCTGAAGAAAGAGCATGGAAATACTACATATGGACTAAGGAGACCTTTTGAAGGAGAAGTTTAAAAGTGAAACCCTTTGCATTAGAATTGAAAGATACAAGAAAGTTGAATAGATCCAGTTTGATCAAAAAGACCCCTAAAAAGAAATCTTCAAACATACAGAGTAATGTCTTATGCTGGGTGACTGACAACTCCATTAGCAGAAACAGCTTTTAGTGGTATTTGTAGTGATCCTGAGTAGTGAGGGAACACAGATGACACGTGGCTCCAGCTGTGAGCCAAAAGTAGTATGGACTGACCCTAGCAGCACTAAAAGCACCTATAAAATGGGCTAAGACCATCACAGACCATCATGGGAGAGGGAATTCTAGAAAGATGGTAGATTAGAGGCAAACTGAGGACTTGGGCCTCTTAATTTAGAGTATAAAAGGAGTTATGACATCTTAATTGCAACAACAAGCTCATTTAATGGATCATATGGATCATATTGATTATATAAATGTATATTACATACTTTTAAATAAATGGTGTCATATTATACATGCCAGTGGGAAGAAAAATTTTTCATTTAATGCCAAATTGTGGCTTTCTGTGCTAATTAATGTAGACCAACATCCTTACTAATAACTGCATAGTATTTTATAATAAATATGTCATACTTATTTAATTGTTTCTTTATTAATGGGTGTTGTACTTGAATCTTATATTTTCTTTGCCAATATTTCAAGTAATGCTACAAAAATCATTATTTAACATCTATCTCTTTTTAAAAAAGATTTTATTTATTTATTAGAGAGGCAGAATTACAGGCAGAGAGAGGGAGAGACAAAGAGAAGGGTCTTTCATCCACTGGTTCACTCTCCAAATGACAATAATGGCAGAGTTGGGCTGAGCTTCCTCCAGGCTCCCACGCGAGTGCAGGGATCCACACGCTTGGACCATGTTCCACTGCTTTCCCAGACCATAGTTGAGAGCTGAATTGGAAAATGAGCAACTGGAACTCAAACCGTTGCCATATGGGATGCCAGCACCATAGATGGAGGCTTAGCCCACTGTGCCATAGTGCCTGCTCCAAACATCTATTTTTTGACACACAGCTCATTATTTACTTAAGACAGTATCCTAGCAATTGGATTGCTGGTTATACAGATTCAAATTTTCTTGTCTTGGTGCCTTCTACCAAATGGCCTTTCAGAAGTATTGAACAAATTTGTACTCTTTTGCCAGTGCCCAAGATTGCCAGTTTCCTTATATTTTATTTCTAGGCTGTGTGGGTAATATTTTATATGAAAATATAACAAGTGAGAGTAAAAGCTTTTTTGCTATTTTTGTAGAATATCCCAAATGCTGAAAATACTTTCATGCTTATTTATCATCTTTATTTATCTTAATATGAATTACCTGTTTATGTCCTCATATTTTTCCCTTGGGTATTTAACCCTATTCTCCATCTTTGTAGGAGTTTTATATATATATATATAGTTTAGAGACATCAATGTATACCTTCTGCAATTATTTGTACCACTTTCATATTCTTTAAATTTTATTTCAGTTTATCATTTTAAGTAGTCAAATATGTATCATTATCTTATTATGTCATTTCTATCTGTATGTTGTCATTTAAAAGAACTTCCTGAGTCCCCAAATAACCAAAACATCCATATTTATTTTTACATAGCACTTATATGATAGGATTTTACATTAAACTTTAAGGCCTCAAAATGTTTTCAGTGTCTAAATACCGATCCCAATATTAGTTATCAAACCTTTCTCCACTGATATAGAATTGTAAGTTCCCAAATATTATTGAATTTTCTGGAATTTGTGTTTTGTTTCATTCACCTGTCAGATCGTGGCTCTTCCAGACCACATGATCTGCTTATAAACACTTCAAATACATGTTAATATCAGTGAAAACTTTGGAAATATTCAAGAAATTTTAACAAGTCTCATGAGACCCAGAGGTGTGCAATGAAGGAAAGTGGAAGATGGCTGACACACACTGACGCAGAGAATACCCCAGAGAAACAAAAATCCCAGAGGATCATATTTCAAAACCATCCAGGGAGAGAATTTTTTGATGTGAATTTGGGAAGGAATCTTAGGGTATATGTTTGGATATTAATAAATGCATGTGAGTGCAAACATTTGTTTTACACACTGTGCAATATGAGACCCATGAGGCAAATATATCCAAAAACTATTCCTCTATTATAACATTGTGTTTACATTTTTCATAGTTTAAAAATAAAATAAAGTTTCAATAGTATCATCTTTTTTCTCAAATTCTTCATCCATACTGATGTTTCCTAAATAATCTTATAAAAATAACTTTTCAATTTATTCTTCTTAGAGAGTCTGTGCTTCTGCCTTATATCAAAAGTTTCCCTGAACTCTAAAAACTCAGATGTTTAATCTGTAGAACAACAATCAAATCCACATGTTCAGTACTGAATGAGAGACATCTATTGCTTAAATACTACCAGCTAGCAGTGCAGACACATACAAGGAACACTTCTGGAAACGAAAGTCATTTATTCAAGACTTGAGCAAAGAGGATGAATATGGCCTTGACACTGAAGGAAATGAAATAAAGACTATACAGACATTTCAGTGTCCAAGTACCTAAGATATAAACATAGACAGGAAAACAAGCTTAGAGTGAAATGTCCATGCCTAAGCTTTGACTGCACCTGGTTGTAGGAAGAGGGGCTTCTGGGACTCAATCTTGGACACATTTGTTATCATGTCAGTTGGCCAACTTAAGGTGAGATAATGAAATGTGAATCCAGTGATCATATGGGTTTCTGAAATGTTCATAGAGAAATTGCTACCAGGAGAAATTCGGATCACACTTAGCAAAAGTCTTATTTCACATGCCACTAAAAGTAAACACTGTTCATCCTAAACATCACAAAAACTTCCCACATCATGCTCATTTATTTTATAAGTAGCCACTTTGAACTGGATAAAACTGTTTCCCAGTTAAGCATTCAGAGCAACCTGTCAAAAGAGAGAGTATATTCTAATTATGTGAGTTAGGAATGGTTTATTGTACTCCAAAATACCTAATTTCATAGAGAAATTTCTAGAAGAAAATGAACTTCACTCACTCAACAAATATTAAGATCCAAATGAGTACCAGATGCTATTCTAGAAACCAGACATAGAAGAGTGAATAAAACAGCTAAGGCACTGCTTTTTCGGAGCTTATAAATAGTAGCAGAAGTGTAACAATTAATTAATCAATCAGTCAGTAAAATATTATAATTTAAAAAGCTCTAGAAATAAATAGGCTATATACTGTGTATCAGGGAAGGCCTTTGAGAGAACATGGACTTAAAATGAGAATGCAGGAAAGTAACACAGCCTAGCTCCCAGGTGTAGAATAGCAGCCTTCCAAGAGGAGGGGCAAGGTGGCCAGAATAGTTGGACACAATGAGACAGAAAGAGGTGAAGAATGAGTAGTGGAAATAGTAGCAAGGTCCTTGAAGGAGGATGAAGGCTTGGATGTAGTCTGGGGACCAACGAAAAGCCACTGCACTGTAGAGGATTAGGGACTGGACCAGCACTTTTTTAAAAAAAGATTTATTTATTTATTTGAAAGTCGGAGTTACACAGAGAGAGGAGAGGCAGAGAGAGTGACAGAGAGGTCTTCCATCCGATGGTTCACTCCCAGTTGGCCGCAATGGCCAGAGCTGTGCCGATCAGAACCCAGAAGCCTGGAGCTTCTTCCAGGTCTCCCACATCGGTGTAGGGGCCCAAGGGCTTGGGCCATCTTCCTCTGATCCCTATTTCTCTAAGAATGGGTTTTTTCTAAGAGTTTAAGCAATCTTTTCAGATAGTTAATTTCAAATGTAATTATCATTCCAAAGATATTTGTCAGTACATATAAATCCTCATTTTAAAAATAAAAAGTAGATAAAATAGCAACTGCCTTCTTTTAGAGTATAATTTTTCACAAATACAGATGAATTTCAGCAAACAAATCATCTTCTATAATCACTGATACAACAATTTTTTTTAAAAAAAGCATGTAAAAATGTGTGTCTCTGTAGAAATATCTGCTGAAAATACTATTCACAGAGCAAGGCATTTGAACGGAAAGAGATCTTTAAGAAGGTGATGAGTATTTTTGAATTTTTAGTCCCATAATAAAACTTCTCTACTTACACATACATTTATGATATCATAAATTCTATAAACAATCGCTATAAGCAAATGGGCCCTGTCAGATATAATACAGCTTTATAGAGTATGCTAGCCATTTGCAGATTCAGTTTTGACATTGTTTTCGTGAGCGTGATGACACACCTAAAGGGAAAATAGACCATTTCCCTATGTCCAAAGACATCAGGCACTGAAATTAGCAG